GGGCTTCTGCCCTTCGGGACCCTGATGCTGAGTCGCGGCGGGAGGCGAGCCGAGGCCAAGGCTGTGAAGGCCGCGTTCGGGTCTCGACTGCCTGGACCTCGTGCTCTCCCCTTGTGTCCTGGGCCTCTCAGAAACCCTGGACCTAAACTCTCGGATTTAGTCCCTGGAGGGCTTCTTCCTCAGCTGCGCTGAGGTCTGAGATGCAACCGCTCACCTTCAGCCTCACCTAAGCCCGTGTTGGGAGCTGGGGCAGAGTTCTGAGAAGCCAGATCAGGTCGCTGTAAGGAAGATTAACCTCTCCAGCGCTGGGAGGCTGCCAGCTCACAGATTTGCCCTGTTTTTCCATCCCTCTCTCCAGGGCTCTTAGTTCTAATTAGCTAGTCCTCGGATGTGGTGAAAACCAGCCCATTTCATAGATGAGGAAAGCAGAGGCCTGAATGGGGTGAGGGCACTCTCACAAGGTCACTCAGAACATTTGCAAAAGCAAGGACTGTTCTTAGGGTTTTGTAGAGTTATTTTAGTAGAATTGCAGTGAATTTGCACTCACTCACTCTTTCAGTAACTATTTATTACACATTCACTCTGCGCTAGATGTGTTTTTAGGTGTGAAGACACAAAGTGAATAGAACTTGGTATTAACATTTATAAAAAAAATTTTAGTCCGGGTTCGGTGGCTCCAGGCTGTAATTCCAGCACTTTGGGAGGCCGAGGCAAGTGGATTGCCTGAGTCCGCGGGTTCGAGACCAGCCCGGGCAACTTGCTGAGACCTCATCTCTACAATAAAATAAAAAATAGGCGTAGTAGCGCGCCTGTAATTCCAGCTACTTGGAAGGCTGAGGCGGAAGGCTCGCCGGAGCCTAGCAGGTCGACGCTGGGGTGGCGGTGAGCGTGCTGTGCCACTGCACTCCAGCCTGGGCGAAGGAATGAGACTCCAACTCAAAACAAAAAAAATATTTTTAACCAGGCACAGAAGCTAACACCTGTAATTCCAGCACTTTGGGAGGCCAAGGAGGGAGAACTGCATGGGCCCAGGAGTTTAAGATCAGCCGGGCAATATAATGAGACCTCATCCCTACAAAAAATAAAAATATTAGCTGGGCATGGTGGCGTGCGCGTATAGTCCCAGCTACTCAGGAGTCTGTCATGAGAGGATCACCTGAGCCCAGGAAGTTGAGGCTGTAGTGAGCTGTGATCAGGCCACTGCACTCCACTCTGGGCGACAGAGTGAGAACCTGATTCAGAAAAAAAAATTTTTTTTTTTTGAGTTGGAGTCTCACTCTGTCGCCCAGACTGGAGTGCAATGGCCGCTCCCGGTCATCGCAGCCTCTACCTGCTGGGCTCCGGCAATCCTTCCGCCTCAGCCTTCCAAGTAGCTGGAACTACAGGCGCGCGCTACCACGCGTGGCTAATTTTTTTGATGTATTGTAGAGATGAGGTCTCACCAAGTTGCCCAGGCAGGTCATGAAAAGAATTTTTTTTTTTTTTTTTGAATGAGTATATCATGAACACCAACTATGGACCAGGAATAATAGTAATTATTTATCTTTTTATATAATTCTATGACAATAAGAATTGCCATTTTTTATTCTATTTTAAAGATGAGGAAACTATAACTTAGAAGGTGCTAAATATCTTGCCCCAGACCACAAAATACTAATATTCTAATATTTTAAAATATTATCTTTTTATATTATAAAATATTTAAAAGTTCTCTGACTCTGAAGTAACTTCATTTTCCATTTTATACTTGTCTAATAAGGGAAATAGATAAGTTCACAACTATAATTTCTATATGAGTATGTTGGAAAAACATGAGTTTTTAAAGACTGAAGTGGCAGAGAAACTACATAGAGAAGGCAATTTTTTGGTTGTTTCTGCTTTACCATTTAAAAAAATATTGACATCATTTCAGACCTACAAAAAAGTTTTAAAAAAATACAAAAATTCTTCACCCCAGGTTTCCCATTTTTATTTCTCTCTAGAGCTGGTGTTTTTGCACACATCTTTAAAGCCCACCTCTAATCTACCACCCTGGTGGCCTTTCTCAAGAACCTGGTAATACCATTGCTGTTACTGCTTGAGGACAGGTCTGTACATGAAGACAGCTGTGTGTGGGTGTGTAAGCAGATGTGTGTTTAAACTCACATTGCTCAAGTTGAAGGTAACAAGACGCCTTCGGTTCTAGGTCATTAGTCACCAGCACAGGAAATGATGAGATCAGACTGAGAGTGCGTCACAAACACTTTTTTCTATTTGACACATGTTTCTTGGAAGGGGTCTTGGACCCCTGGAGATGACAGTCCCTCAGTCAGGAGCCTCTTTCCTCTTGTCCTGGATCTGTAAGCCATAAGAGCAGAGTGAGAGTGCTTCTGGGGACAGTTTTTAACTCAGCAACCTATTACCTACCTGCACTGGGCCCTACTCTGGGCTGGGTGCCATGAGGGAGTCCAAGAGGTATGTGGCAGCCCTTACCCTGAATGGACCTCTCAGTTTGGTGGGAGAGAAGACATCAACAATGTGAAATGTTTCAATAAAAATTTAAGAAAGTTATATAACTAAATGCCAGCGTATATTTTCCAGACAGAAAACAAAGCAAAACACAACACAACAATGGGAATTCCAAGAAAGGAAGGAGGAGCATCTTAGGCTGGGGTGGTGGCCAAGGAGAAAGAGGCTGGAGCCAGGCCCTCAGGGATGACTAGAATTTCATCAAAAGACAGAACCTGGGAGGGACAAGCATGGGCATTCCTGTATAAAGACATAGGAGTTGGGACGGGCGCAGCAGCCCAAATCTGTAATCTCAGCACTTCGGGAGGCCAAGGCAGGAGGATTGCTTAAGCCCAGGAGTTCACGACCAGTCTGGGCAACATAGCAAGACCTTGTCTCTCCAAAAAATGGAAAAAAAAAAAAAAAGGCCAAGTGTGGTGGTGAGTGCCATCTGTAGCCCCAGCTACTACGGAAACCAAGGCAAAAGGATCTCCTGAACCATCAAGGGTTCTGAGCTGTGATTGCATCACTGCACTCTAGCCTGGGAGACAGAATGAGACCCTGATTCAAAAAAAGGAGACAGGCTGGACATGGTGGCTCACGCCTATAATCCCAGCACTTTGGGAGGCTGAGGTGAGAGGACTGCCTGAGCCCATGGATTCAATACCAGCCTGGGTAACTTAGTGAGACCTCATCTCCACAATAAATTTTTAAAAAATTAGCTGTGCATGGTGGCACATGCTTGTAGTTCCAGCTACTTGGAAGGCTGAGGTGGAAGGATCAACTAAGCCCAGTAGGTGGAGGCTTTGGTGGCTGTGAGCATACCACTGCACTTCAGCCTGGGCAACAGAGTGAGACTCCAACTCAAAAAAAAAAGGAGACAAAGGGCTTCCACTGACAAGAGAGGTTCTGGGGAACTTGGAGGTTCAATCTGTTCCAATATTCACTCTTTCCCAGTCAATACTCTAACTTTTCAAAGCTCTAAGAAAATAAAAATTTTTTAAAAGGTCGATCCCGGTGACTCAAGTCTGTAATCCCAGCACTTTGGGAGGCTAAGGTGAAAGGATTGCCTGAGACTAGCCTGGGCAACTTGGTGAGACCTCATCTCTACAATATATCAAAAAATTAGCCGGGTGTGGTAATGTGCGCCTGTAGTTCTGGCTACTTGGAAGGCTGAGGTAGAAGAATCATCGGAGCCCAGCTGGTTGATGCTGGGGTGGTTGTGAGCATGTCACTGCACTCCAGCCTGGGCTACAGAGTGAGACTTTGATTCAAAAAAAACAAAGAGACACAGAGTTAGGAATCAATCCCTTTAACATATTCAGGGAGCATTGTATGAAATAAAATACATGAAATGAAAATTTGGTGTTGGAGAAAAATGCCCTGGGACAGTTGGCCCCCAGGGCTCTGAACAGGAGGCAAAGGGCTCTGGAACTCATTCTGCAGCTTCTCCAGACTCATGGATAAATTTTTTTTTTTTTTAAAGTACCTTGAGCCAGGCTCGGTGG